AGTGAAATAAAATACTACAGTACGTTTTGAAAGGGAACAACGGACATATTTGCAATAAGACTAAGGAGTTTCTTGCCGTTCGCCCACCACAACACCAAACGTAAATATACTAGCGACGCTCTGCGTTTGTAAAGGTCACAGAGTAATTTATTGGTATAGGACACATTACTCCGGTAATATGCAGCATTGGAAGTTCGATTATCTGGCAAGTTGTGTTCTCAAATAATTGACAAAAAAAACACTAACGTAAAATTTTAAAGATTGGTATTAAATACTTTATTGTAACTAGATATCTTGAAAGAAGTTGCGTTTTGGGATTTGCATTTGTTTCGAGATTTCCTATTGGACACAAATCCGGACGGAAGGCCACACTCCTGCCTGCCCCCAGGCTAAGGTTTCAAAGCGTCTGTTCGTACCATGTTCCTGGACAGGCACAGTCCAGCAGCTCTCCCTTAAATCAGCAATTTGCAAAGTCTTGAACACATCGTGGTGTCGTGGTCAGTCAGGTAGGACTGTCCAGCTGTGTCCTGCGAGCTCCAGACAGGTGTTGGTGTTTTCATTTCAAATGATCCATCAGCTCCCTAATTGAACAAATCACGTACTTCAGTGGCCAAAACAATTTTTTTCAAAGTCTTCAGAAATCCGATGACTGAGGGTGACCGATAATTTAAGTCGCAGGTTGTACATACTTGTTTTACACCGAGTCGCACATTTAATTTAGGACTGAGGGTATCACCAAAGCACTCATCTAACAAGCGTGATTAATGATAAGATATTGATGTTCTGAATCTGAATTCTGACAGTCTTTGGGATTGTTGTTGTGGTCATTATTGAGGCCGGCCCTCTCTCCTCTCGGCTCGGCCCAGCCTCAGGCCTGTGGGCGGGAAGCTGCGGAGCGGACCGGCGGTTTTTAGTGCCCAAGAAGATAAAATATTAGAATCGCATTTTTAACGGTGGGGTGATTAATTTGATGGATATGTCGACCAACGGGCTGTCAGCCAGGGTCCAGCAGTTTTTAAACCCGGAGGAGCAGCAAAGAAATTCGGAGTCGCAGGTGAGTCTTTTATTGACTTTCCTGCAAACCCCGCTTTCTGGTAGTATTTACGTATATTGGTAACGCTTTTTAATTTCGAAATGCAGTCTTGTCCCAGTCTGCCTTTAACCTGCCCGTGACTGAGTCTGTTGTGCTCGATGTGTTCAGTTTGTAGTAGTATTATTTTTTTTATTATTATCGCAATTTAATGTACCTTGGCTAAACTGACAAGAGGTTTTTGTTTCGCTAAACTTTGAGGCCTGGCGCTTTTCTTGATTCAATCCCTAGATCATACTTTATTTCATTTCTTCGGAGGGCAGTATACTACAGTATTCACTCCACTGCGGTGTTGCCATCGCCGTCCAGACGTTTTATTCCAACCGCTTACATAATCATGCAGATTAAAACCGATGGATGTGGATACTGACCATTGAAGAGTATCCTGGCCGAGGGGGTACTAATAAGTAGAGGTCCCGTGTGCATGGGCTGGGCTGGGCTGGGCTGGGCTGGGCAGCAGGCTGTTTGCGCTTGACCAGGTGTGGCAGAGACCTGTCGCTTCCTGTCTGTGCTCCTGTTCAGCAGTCCCACATTTGACCACTGGTGTACCTTGGCTTCAGAACGTCCACAAGTGGTTTTTAAGGTCTCCAGTGGGATAGCAGCCAGAAGACCCCCTGACCCCTGCTCTAACCCCCCCCCGGGTCTGATTAAGCACTGGGAGGGGTTTGCTGGTGTATCTGGTGACCGTACACCTGGCTGGGCTCCTGTGTGCCCTGCTGATGACATGCAGCCTGTCTGTGTGTGCAGAGCCCGTATCGGCGCCTGGCGCGGCGCATGCAGGCCCTGGTGGGTGATGGAGGGATCCTGAAGGAAGTGATCCACCCTGGAGTTGGCCAGCTGGTCCCAGAGAACGCGTCCGTCTCGTGTAAGTGAAGAGAGCAAAGAGTGGGCAAGAGTGCACCAGTCTTGATGCTTTTAAATGGAGCTCTGGCTGGACTGTGGGGATCCCTGACGCTGGGGTGTTGCTAGCGATGCGGGCTTGATTCCCCGGCGCTCCAGTGTGGGCGTCGGACTGTATTTGGGAGTCGTGAGGATCAGACGCTTGATGGGAATACTGCTGCGCTCGGGTCCGGTTCATGTGAGGAAAGGTTGTGTCCCATTAGGATTGGATAGTGGGGTGGGGAATAAAAATCCAGTGTAGAAGCATCCTGAACAGCACTTCCTCAGTTGTTTTGATAAAGAACAGACTGCTTCTTAGGGTGGGTATTCTTAATACTGATTTCTTGATTGCCTTTAACAAAGGAGAAATCACAGATCAGATTGGAGAAAGCTGCATGAAGGCTACAGCCCAGTGCTGGTGGTTAGAAACGGCAGCATGGAAATCCTCACGTGGAATATCAGCAACAGACTCCCAGCTTGCAGAGCCAGTCGCGTTCTCCTTGGTCTCACTAGCAAACATCTTTATCTTAACGGTCTGGGATGACTTTTTATTTACCTCAGGCTTTTTTAGTGTATTTCCAAGAAATGTCAGTCTGCCAGTCCCCTTTTTTAAAGTAGTGAGCTTGTGGTTCCGCTGCCTTCTAAGGAATTCAGAGCTGATTAGCTGTGGCGAGCTTAGCTTGGTACTCCTCCAAGATAAAATAGAAGTTTTATTTGCCTATTTATGACGGCCCGGTCTAGAACAGCCGGCCGTTTCTTCGCATCTCGGCTCAGTGCCACGTCCTGTGCTGTGCAGGGAAGGTGGGCCCTGTGAAATGGCAAGCGGATGCTTTTCTGCTTTACAGAACCAAGAAATAATTAGCGTGTTTTTGCAGTTGGACAAAGTAAAAAAAAGTCTGTTTTTAGTGTCCAATTTTACATCATACCTTACGTTAATCTGTAAAGAAAAAAAACATGTATTGCTTCCATTACAATATATTGAAGACATTTTATAATTTTTATATTTTCATAACAATGTTTCACACACAAGTGTGGTGGTCAGTGCCACTGAGCTTTGACTGGACACTGAAGCCAGGCGGGGGTTCTGGTGATCTCCCCCTGAATGACACACTCTCTATGTAGCTTTGTTTTATTCTTTTTTTGAGAATAAACACTTAATTCAGCGGCTTGATTTTGCACAGCAGATAACTGTATGCACTTCTGAGACGATGTATTTTTCCAGTTCGTTACGCAGGCTTTCTGGAATACTCCGACTCTCCGTTTGAAAGCAACTCCTATTTGAAGCACCCTCGCCTGATGAGGCTGGGAAGAGGTGGGTTCTGCGCCAGGTGTCGGGAATACAGCGTCATGAAGGCCTTACAGGCTTGTGCGACTATTGATAAAGGAGAATGGGGTTACGGGGTGCAGTAGATCTTTTTGCACAGTACTGGCTCTGGGAGGAGCTTGGAGTCCAGTTGTTACCAGGTTGAGGTGGTTCAGGCACCTGGTGAGGTGCCCCCTGCTGGAGGTGTATGGGGTGTACTGGGCACGGCCCACTGGAGGAGACCTGGGGCAGAACCAGGGCATGCTGGGGGATTATACCTCCACGCTGGCCTGGGGGAGCTGGAGACTGTTGCAGAGATTAGGGTTCGAAAGGGAAGTGTGGTCTGTCCTGCTCAGCCTGTTACCACTCCCCAGGAGTAAGTAGTTAGTAAAGGGCACACCCCTTCGGTCATTCATCATCATCATCACTCTCTGTCTAGTTCCACAGCAAGTTGAGGTTGCACATGATTTTAAGTTATTTAGTTGGCAATGCAATAACAAGCCCTCTGAATACATTTTGGTAAAAGCAACTGCACCACTGCCTCCCTCTCCCCCTGCCTTACTCTTTAAGGCTTCTTCTCCCTGTTCCCCAGAGGTGACGCTGGTGGGCCTGGAGGTGGGCTTGCTGACCATGCGCAAGGGCGAGTTTGCGCGTTTCCTGTTCCTGCCCGACTACGCGTACGGGGCGATGGGCTGCCCTCCGCTCATCCCTCCCGCTGCCACCGTCCTGTTTGAGGTGCACCTCCTCGACTTCCTGGACACGGCTGAAGTCGACAGCTTTTTCGACCTGACTCTGGTAACGGCCTGTGAGAAGAGCTGTGCGTTTTCCCGCTGCCTTGGGTGTGGCCTGGGGGCACCGTGGTCATGTTTGTACTGTGTGAAAACATAACGCACTTGGGTCAGATCCTGTATGTCTGAAGTGAAAGGTCTTGTTAAGAGGAGATGCTGCCTTTTGAAAAGCGCTATGAAAAATAGTTTATTATTATTACCAGAGGCAGCAGAGCTGTTGACGGGGAGTGAGATTTGGCTGCAAAGCAGTTTTCCTCTTTTCCCCATCATGCTGTTCTGCTTGTCTTCCCAGGAGCAGCAGCGCACAGTCCCGCTGTCCACGGCGCTCGGCGTGGTCGACACGGAGCGCACCTTCGGCAACCGCTGCTTCGGGCAAGGCCGCTACGAGGAGGCCAAGGAGCACTACAAAAAGGCAAGGAGCGTCTCGGCGGCCGTCTGCAAGCTCTCGAGATCTTTGTGGCAGGCCAGCTTTCTGATAAACTCTTATTAGTGATTCTTTATATTAATTGCATCGCAGCTGCCTTTATCCAGGGCAAGTTGCATTGCGGTGCAAGTATGAAGGAAACCCTCGATAAGATTAAATGAAAGTCGCATTCACAAAAGTACAGTGAGACCAGCATGATGGTGATGCAGAGGGAAAGGCTCTCAAAGCCTAATTGAAGAAGGGAGTAGTAGTTACTGGGTGTTAATCAAGAGCTTCACACAATACTTTATACACATGCCCGTGTGCACAGTTGATTACTTCAGAAGAAAAGATAAAAAATGCATGCATTATGTGAGCTAAATAGCCAAGTGGTTTTTCAATTAGTGACCAATGTATTGTGGAATGATTGCAATTAGGATATATGATTTGTAATGCTATCTGGGGAAACTCCCACCCTCGGCGATCGTTTTGGTAACTGTTTCTCATTCAGCTACACAGGACTTTTTCTACAAGGTTTCGTTTCCAATTTCAGAAGCTCCTTAAAATAAAAATGTCATTTTGGAAAAACTGACCCCATCCCATAAGTGTCTACAGGTCTGTTGAAGGCAGACCAGACACATTTGTGAAACCGAGCACAGGCTTCAGTCAGTGTCCAACAATCTCAGTCTGCTCCTCTGGAGTGGGCAGTGCTGTTGAGCATATACAGTGAAAGGCAGAGAGCTATGTGATAATTTAGTTGTTTTAAACATTTAGCATTTTGATATGGAACCCCCCTAAAACACAGGTTGATGTGTGTGATAAATGTCTTATAGTTGCTGTTCTTCTGCTTTAATTTCCAACTCCCAGAAATCCAGAGAGTGTAAATCAGGCCACGCAGCTCTAGCTGATTGCATGAGATTGTGTGGCTGCCCATTGATCTTATTCTCTGGCCCTGCCTGTGCCCTCCAGGGGATCGCTGTGCTGGGGGACCGCCAGCCAATGGGCGATGAAGAGAAGCGCAGCATGGAAGCCCTGCAGCTGCCCATCCTCCTCAACCTGTCCCTCACGCAGCTGCGCCTGGAGCGCCCAGCCAAGGCCCTGGATTACGGGCAGAAGGCCTTGGAGATCAGCCCCCACAACGCCAAGGCTCTCTTCCGCTGCGGGCAGGTGAGGGTCCCTCCCGACCCCCCTCTGCCTGAGCAGTGCTGCCACCCCAGGGGGGTGCTGGAACTGCGCCCACACAAGCCCCTTTCCTCCCCTCCCTCCGGATACATCTTTCGTCACTAAGAGTACCAGAATCCTTTGCACAGTTGACCCATTGTGCAAAGTGCAATAGTCTTTTTTGCACCAGCAACCTTGCTCCCCAGCCAGTTGGTGTCGGTGGTGGGGGGGGCAAATACATCTGGCCAAATGTAAAATCAGGCCGAATATCGCAAGCAATGCCGTCAAAACAGAAAACAGAACATCTGTCAGAATTATGTTCACCATAAGTGGGCTATTGGTTTAAAAACTCTGGTCCAGAGGGAAGAGCACCATCTATTAGGTTACCAGTAATTCTTACACCAGCAGCCTGGTTTTCCCTATATGTCTCCCATCCGGGCGGTGCGGCGGCTCCGGTGATATTTGATGATAATGCCACAACCATCGGTATTATGCTGTGGTAGATTGAGATAGTTGTGGCTTGTGTGGCAAATCTTTTTTTTTTGTGTGTGTGTTTATCTAGGCCTACATGGAGATGGGAGAATACAGAAAGGCCAGAAACTGCCTCATGATGGCACAGGAGAAAAAACCCTTGGACACAGACATCAAAGACCTCTTGAAGAAGCTGGAAAGGTTGGCTTTTGCTTTTTCTATCTCAGGGTTTGTTTGTATGGACACGCATCAAGAAGAGATTGATGTTCATATATCTGTAAACTCTTTTGTAGTTGCCACAAGGGTTATGTGGCAGAGTGCAAGGAGATGTGTGCCAGGATGTTTGCAAGCTTAAATGCTGCATCAAAGAAATAAAGGTGAGTTTTTTTTCTTATTGCTAAATCTTATTGGTAATCTAGAACATTCACATTTCAGTTTTTAATGTGTACTTGTGACGCGTTGTTCTGCAAGGTGTATTGATCTGTAGGATGTCCTTCCAGAAGAGCCCACAGGAGGGCAGTGCGTAACTAAATATCGGGCTGGAGATCAGGACAATGTGTAATTCTTTTAGCGTTAGTATTATTAATCCTTGAACATTTCATTAATCAAAACCTCTGAAATCTTACTGAGTGCTGTGGTTGTAAGTTGCAGAATAACACAATGGTATTTGGTCAGTACTTTAGTTCCTTGATCTGTCTGCAGTGGTAGCCTGCTGTTCCTTTCAGTACAGCTCCCAGTGCCATGACGGATACTCTAATGACCTTTTTCTTCAGTTGGTAATTTTTAAATATTTAATCTATGCACAGTTCTCTGTAATTTACATTTTAAGCTTAAAGGCCATGTCAGTGAAACTATCTGTGCAGAAGAGAAAAATAATTTTCATTTCTCTGCATACTCTTTTCTATGTGAAAATTAAGACTTAAAAAGACTGTAAAAGCATTACACGCACCATAATTTGTGCATCATGGTAACTGAAAGCAGTACAAGGCCCAGCTTCCAACACCTTGCCAAGACATGTGCAGCGATTTCCAAATGAGATCGTGTGGAATTTAACATGATGTACTCAGAAGATCAAAGGGTTCGTTCTGAATGTGCCGTTGACTGACATACACTGAAGTTCTGATCGGAAATTCAATGGGCTGCTATTTTTAAAAGAGGTAAAATTTTCAAACAAAAACATGAAAGACATTAATTTTCTTTTATTCACAGTATTAAGAAAATCTGAAAGGCAAGCTTGATGAGCTAAGAACACCTCCTCCTGCACAAGGTGCTAGTTAGGGGGCGGTTGTAGCTCTTGTAAGCAGAGGCTGTAGTGTGTCAGAGAGCCGGGGTGACGTGCTGGCGCAGTTACAGGCAGCATTTTGAAACTTCCTTCACCCCCTAGTGCAGGTGGGTATGCAGAGGTCTGTCTCTCTTGCTCTCAGGTGAAACTGAGCCCGTTCCCGGTGATTAAACTGCTGTGAAAGAGCTTAATGCGGCTTAAGACTTAATGTTCGCAATAATTTGTTATGAGCCGGGAGGGTGCTCATGTGTAAATGTAAGACGCAACATGATAGTCATCGTGCAGCCAGTGTAGCGCGATAAGGGAGTCGCCAATAACGGACGCGATGACAGAAGGGGTCGAGTGCGATTTGCTGCAACATGTCTCCCCTGCGGTTTGTGAATGCAGTTCCTTGTTGATCATCCCAGGGGCTGCTCTGCAGAGCCCCTGCCGCTGCCACATGCCCCCTGCACTCTGGTACCTTTAAGTGACAGCGGTTTGCAGATCAAAGCCTGCAGAAAGTAATTTAGGAATCGTATTAATGACACGCTCTGGCTGCACTTCAAAGGGCTCTGGCACACTCCAGCACAGCAGAAGCATCTTCTTTTTTTCCCTTTTCAGAATCAACGGGAGTTTATTTTATGTAGGAGGTTTGAAAACCATAAGAGTGACAAACGATGTAGGCAGAGACTATCTGTGAAAGTATGGAGATGGCTACAGGGTTGCAGGGGAGTGTGGTGTTGAAAGAAGCTTTTTTTTATTAAACACCAGCTTCTGTTGACTGTGGCACTGGATTAGTGTTAGGGCTTTTTAGCTTATTGCTTTAATCTCCTTTGTCAGCAGGGCCAAAATGTGTGATTTAAAGGGATCTACTGGTAGTTAAACAGCCCTTAAACCCAAACCACCCTGCTTCTCAGTTCAGTAAACTAAGTCCCTCTGCTTCTCAGACTGTCTCCAAGCCACACTGCCTGTTAGTTCCTCAGCTCCGCATGCCTCTTCCCAGCTCCCTGCGGCCTTCCAACCCTTGTGCTCAAAGGCCACACGGCCTTCGGGACCTGATCGCGAAGGAGAAGCATCTTAAAATATCCCGTTCGTTTTTTAGGGATTTCAAGGCTGCGCAAATGTTAAATGTCAGCTCTTCTCATCATTGTGAAGTAGAATTCACCAAGAGATGGATTGTTCACCGACTCGCAGGGAATGCGAGCTGGGCTTAGACCGTCGTGACACGGGCTAGTTTCCCTCCTGCTGGCGTGTTGTTGTTGTAGTAGAACCCCAGCTCGGTTCAAGAGGAAAGGTTCTGACACTTGGCGTCTGTGCTTGGCTGGGGAGCCAATGGTGCGAAGCTGCCATCTTTGGGAATCGGAACACCTCTCAGTGAGAACCCTCTGAGAGGCTGAACACGCTTGATAATGAGGGAGTTTTTATACAACCAGTCCTCTGGTGATGTTTAACACTTCTCTGACTCTGTTGCTCAACCAGCACATCCCCGCTCTGAGTTTCTTTTGGCACAGAGGCTCCAGGATTTGTTTTTGCTTTAGCCAGATTATTGTTTTCATTTTAAATTTGGCTGCATTTTTATGGCTGGTTCTAAAATGATATCCAGTGCTATTAGCAGTTATTCCGTCAGACTGAAGGACTACAATAGCGAAGTTGTAGAGCTGGATCCGCAAGCTGCTCTGAACTGTGCAGTTTCCCAGTTCCTCCACTCTGTCCGGGCTGCTTGTGTGGGAGTCTGGAACAAGCTGTTACACCATGTTGTCAAAGCTGATACCCTGGAGCCTTTCAAGGAACGTCTTCGCTATTCACGAACAAGCTAGTGAGCCGAATGGCCGCCTCTTGTTTTTTTTTTTTTTACAGCTTCAGCGGCGTGTGGAGTCTGTGGCCTCTGAGCAAGGGACTTGGAAAGTTACGGAAAAGAGACAACACCTCCAGTCGACTCTTTGATTTGGACTCTTTTTGAAAATACAGATGTTAACATAGCTGACTAGATTCGGTAAGATGTTATTGATAAACAGGTCTGCTTGTTAACCAAGTATTTTTAGACAGGATATATGTTGTTTAAATTGAAATGTTCCGTTTTTTCTCTTAGTCGTTAGAATGCTTCTGTTGAGAATGAAGGTGTTCTCCCAGCTCTGGGGTAAACCGCCAGGATAGTTTTGCTGGATGAGCACAGGGGTTTGGCCTGCAGTGGAAAACCAAGTGTGCGGAGCCCATGGGCGTGTCCAGGCCATTGGGATGGGCCTCCTCTTGCAGATCTACAAGCGGAGGGATGGAAATTGGATCTATCTGTGTCTCTGCAAATTGCTGTGTTTTAGCAATTAGTGCTAACAAAACACCAGCCACATTGATCTCAATGTGTTTTTTGACCTCTTCCACAAAAACCTATTCATCCCTACCAGAAGCACGGAGTCAAAGAAAAAATCTCTAGGCAGCAAGTTAGAATTTATTTGTAAAAAGAGAGATGTCTTTAATAGAAGCTGCAAAACCTGGGTTTTTCCAGGGCCCCAGGAATGACATGGTTTTCCATGAGTGAGTTATTGATTTACGGTTTAGTTTTGATTATGTTTGCTCCATTAGGTTTTGAATCTGTTCTAGCACCAAGTGAGGTCTTTTGGAACAGCAGTTCCAAAACTATCCCAGAGCTTGAGCTGGTGGGTTAGTTCATTTTTTTTCTAGATTTTTCGGTTGCTGCCAATAAACTGCTCTTCAGATTGATTGATTGTATTTTGTATTCTGTAGAACTAGTATCCAACAGTACAGAGGTATTCTAGAATCTGCTAGCTGGGGAGCGTCTCTGGAAATGGTTAACATTTTTGGAGTCGGAGCATAAGGGGGTTTGACCTGGGACTTGCTCCCTAGTGGAGTGTTTGTTTTTTCTAGTTGGAAAATATTGGGCTACCCCAGTCTACTCGGAATAAACCTTAAATCTGTTTGGATATGAAATGTTTTTGGTTGCAATGCGTCTTTGCTAGTCATCAATAAGGTACTTTATATCTGAGAATTCAAGTGATGTTATGTTCCTCTGAAAACAGACTGCTCTTGCTTCTGTACAGATAATTTAAAAAAGCTTTTCTCTTTTTTTTGGTGTCATTTCAGGCTTCTCTTGTGAGGCTAGTTAAAATTCTTATCGGGACTAGTAAAGAATATTGATAATAGGGTTTTTGTTCAAAGTAATATTAGGCAGATTTTTAAATAACAGAATTTCTTATATGCCTCTGCAAAATGTTCCTCCGAGCCTATATTGCTATAGTCCATGATGTGTGGTTCTTGACATAAACGATCCTGAATGTCTAGTGTAACTGCTGCCTTGTAGTAGGTGTAAAGGCTGCTGGAACTGCAAACAAAGAGTTTCAGGGGCACCCAGAGCTGCAGCACACTGCCCAGCTGTGCATCTGTTTATCGGTAAACCATGATGGCATTATCTGAAGCCAGAGCTTAATAGCACAGGGTACAAGGCAGAGCGGAGATGTGTATACAGTACTGCTGTGCAATAAAATATGGAGCAGGAACAATGCAAAATATGCAGCTTTCCCTCTGTGAGAATTATTGGGAAGATGCTGTGGAGTAACTGTTACAGTGATTCCCTTTGTCTTTTCATCTGTATTTTACTTTCAGGAGCTCTGATTAAAAAGAATGTGAAGTTTCAAATGAATATTAATTCTGTATTGATATATTTTAAGTTTGGTTTCTTTTCGTGCAATCTAAGTTGTATGAGTAGTAAAAGTTCAAGTTATAATAGAAAACATTAGTGGAGGCTTTGAGTAAATGAAGTTCATAACATACATATTTGACAACTCCTGACTGGCTCCAGTCTGATTTTTGCACAGCAGCGTATATAATTTAAACATTTACTTCATGAGTGCCTGTAATGTGTAGTCAGAAACACAGTATAAACTGTTGATAAAGTTGTAGAGCTCGCCATAACCAAACTCGGATGATAAGACTGTACGACAGAGGTCTCAGCTGTTCACTGTTGGGTTCACGAGTGTTGGGTGCATTAAGAAATTTAGATTTCATTTACAGATTTTAGCTTTTCACACCTCTCCACTAATCCCCCCCTCCTGTGGACACTTTCTCACCTGTGTGCCCATTCTCTGCCTCGTTCTCTTGTGCTTTATATTCTGGCCAACTTCCCTCTCCCTCAGACATGAAGAAGACATTCATTCTGTTTTTCAGTGTGGAATTAATCTTGGCTTGTTCATCTGCGGTTTTTCAGTATGTGTGGATCTAAGCAAGATGTACACAAGTTTTGCTGAGGCTTCTGAGAGCAACAATAGACAACGCATCACAGTGTGCCGGCGCTGTGCCTGCAGGCTGCTCCAGCCTTTTTGGGCTTAATCGCTTTGAGATGCAGAGATGTTTTGAGGTCTGCTGAGCACAGTGCAGCAGTCTGCCGCTCCCCAGCGCAGAGACGAACCCCAGTCTGGGGAGAAAGGGGGAGGCACTGCTTATGGGGGAAGCAGCCAGAACCGGTGGCGAGTACCTCAGCAGGTCCAGACCGTTTGCTTTCAGCAGCTTTTTAATGATCGTTTGGAGACTCCGGCTAAAACCCCAGACGGATTTTCACAATAGAGAGAAGGAGCCTGCCTGCCACAGGGCCTGGCTGAGCCACTCCGAGGCAGGCGGGGAGTGAAATGTGAGGAAGGGAAGGTGGTTAAGATTTGCAGTGGTGCCCCCTGTTCCATCCCGCAGCCCCCAGATCTGACACCTCTACAAGAAGCCCTTTGACTGCAGTCTCTTCCTCCCCTAGCAGTTTGCGTTGGCAGTGCCTTCCCTCTCCCAGCCAGTTCCAGGCCCCTGGTGCCCAGCACTGAAAGATTAATGGAGCCTCACAGAGTCAAACTGCTTTCACCTGTTGTGTCTGGCAGCCAGCGGGCAGATAATTAGCTCCCTGCAGACAAGGTGGCTTTGTCTTTGACCGGCATCCACGTGCTTTTTTTGGTTATGCATTTCAGAGCGTAGCAGTTTGACAATCTTAATAACAGCCTGAGTTAGTCCCCAGGACTGGTAAACGACTCATTTGATTCTTATTCTGTGATTGGCAGAGAGTAAGCCAGAAGCACTCAGCCATTCCTTTTTCCTCTTTTTTTGCTCTGGATTCTTCTTCTGGTCCTGCAGTGTCTGATGTAGGAATTATTTCAAGATCTTTAGTTATGGTTCCCAGCTTGCTAGGGGAAACTCAAAATGTGATCTATTTTCAAAACTGTGTGCAGCTGAGTGTGATAAGAACATAAGTTACAAATGTGAGCAGACTGGCCCATCTGTCCAATTATTTCTATTAATGGCGGAATCTAGAAAAGTATAAGGCTTTTTCATGAGGACGAGATTCTTTCGTTTTAAAGAAGTTTTTGTGCCTGTGTAACAAACCCGTTGTCTCTGTTTTGAGCCTAAAGTAACTGTTTTGGTTGACTTAGTCATTATGCATTTTCTAAACTTTGATCAAGTCTTTACAGAGTGTTTGCTTAAGAGTAGGAGATGTAAACAATTCTCTTAAAATGAATGGGAAAATTATGAGTCCTGAGTCTATTCTCGTAAATGTTTCTCATGTTCTTTTCATGCCAAGTAACTTTGTACTTGGTTAGTGGCCTCCAGTGATCCATAGCTGTGTGGTTACGAGGAGTTCTCTTCTGGTTTGGCACGAGCAGCCCTTTCCTGCTGGTGTACAGGCTGAGAGCACCCATGTGCAGTCTGTCACTGGCACCGCTGGCACTCCAGAGGGATATTTAAACTGACTGCACAGTCGTGTGGTGAAGGTTAGCGGAGGGAAAATGAATCATGTTCTGCACAATAGTAAGCTACCACCAGTATGGCTGTTTCTTTGAAACTTAAAAGTCAAAGGATTTGATGTGCGGTGCTGTGAATGAACTGAAGCAGAAGTCTGAGAAGCAGTAAGCTTGAAAGTGGAAACAAACTGATAACTGAAAAAGTTCTTGTGGAAATGTGCGTTTAAAGAAATTGCAATACTGCTTCACTCTTCCTAACCCTTTTCAGGAACCTTTTTTTTTTGTCAAATTGGAAACCAGTATGTACTTTTCCTTGTTGAGCAACTTGAACCTTTTTCCATTCATAAATAGCATTCTAATTGAATATCATTTAATGTTTATCAGTTAAATGAATATTTATAGTAGTATATGCATTTTTCTCCATTGCCATTTCAGGTCAGGCTGTCTGTTGTGTCATGAACATTTACAGGTGTAAAATGTCACATGAAAATATACAGGTGTATTTAGCCCCATAGATTGATTAATACAACAGCATCACAGTAATGTGACGTATTTGTTTCAATATTATTTTTCTGCATTTCCTAATATAGCCTTTGTCTCTTTCATCAGTATTATTATTTAAGAGTTTTAAATTGTAAACGTGACACCCAGATAAAATGTTTCTTTTTATAGAAACAAAAGTAGAAATAAATTGAATGAAATTATCCAAGCGGAGAAAGTAAGTGATATGAAAAATTAAAGACTGGTAGCCTACTTTTATACAGCACACGGGTATCTGAACATGTTCTTTTCATGTTTGGGGTTCCTGTGGTTATAACCGTGTGGTAAATACAGTGACTAATAAGCACTCTAGATCTCTGAGGTGTTTTACAGTGGAATTGAGCTGAGCATCTCATTGTGTTTTTGAACTACGTTCTTGAAACTTCACTTCATGCCCAGTTTTTCAGGAGAGCTTTTGGAGTCGGCGTGGGGGTTCACAGCTCCTGTGAAGGAGGCCCCTTAACGCATTAAAGCCTGAGATGCTCCAATCTAAAATCTGTCATCCTTAAAGATCTCAACACATTTATCAAGTAGCAGCTTTTGAGCTTCACCCTGAAGTTTGCAGGTCAGGGTCTTGTTTTCCGCGGGTCAGAGAAAGCCAGTGCAGGATTTGTCCTGAAGCATGTCCGAGTTGCATTTCATTCCTCGCCGCACAGACAGCATGGAGCTGCTCCTGGCCGGGTGCTGGAGAAACGAGCATGGTGCACAACCACACGCTAGCAGCACCGGGCTGCATGCAGGCTCCCCTGAGCTCTTGGAAGAGGTTTATTTTCAAGCCTTCTGCACTCACAGGGAGGAGCCTGCAAGCTGGAGACGGGTCCAGATGGACTGAAGCTTGCAGAGCTGTGAGCTCGGCTTCTCCTTGGGACTGGGGGTGGGATGTGGCAAGTTCCCATGCTTCACTCTGTTCCATTTCAGTACGGTCTACCTGCCTTGCTACACGTTTAACATTGTTGATGAAGTTATCATCAAAACATGGGATACAGCTAGTAATTGCTCTTAATACATTGGTAAAATGAGATCAAAGATGAACAGGAAAAAGCATTGCGTTCAGGGTATGAGAAGTGTGAAGCCACAGGTGAGGCTTCCTCCCTTGTTGTAATTTTTGGAACCGCCATCTGGGATCTCCACATCATTTTTCGCAATGTAGCAAATAGGCTTCAGACAGAGTCAAGTATTTCACATTCTGTGGTACAATAATGCTGATCCATTCCCGGTGAATAGCTCTCTGAAATCCATGATGGCTGATTACACTTTCACAGCCCATTGACAGGCAAAAGATGCACACTGAAACTGAAAAACTCCCTGTTTGTTTTTTTGGCTGCCCTCCTAAGACACGTTTTGGCTTATCGGATTTTTAATGTTTGATAGCAAAATTCTAATCATTTTAGCCCTTGAGCTTTTCAACATTTTGAGCAACAAGTTCTTGCAATGCTTGGCAGACTCATGGCC